CGTATACAAATGACAAAGGAAATACTTCCAGCCACCGACCCTCGGACCAGCTGGAGAACCAATCACCCTGGAGAACCAATCACCCTGTATAGAGCAATATGATTCGTTTGTCCTATAATGGGTCTGAATGAGCCAAACGTGGCTAGAGCAAAACCCCCATCACCCCTACCTAATGTAAGAGTCTGACTGAAAACGACAATACAGAAAGCAACAACGACATAATTCATCATGTCAAAGAAACTCAACAAGAGTAAAACGAAATTAAATAAACTAAACTGACAGCGAAAATGAATCCCTGCTTCAAGCGTCATTCTTGGCGGTGGCTCAGGAGGGGGGGCGGATCATCAAACCTTCGTCTTGAAAAATTCCTTGCGATTCTACCACCACAAATTCCAAAGACACCTTCTTACCCCCTGCAATTATAGCACGAGTGAACCCGGAATCTCCGCCTGATGGTATTTCCCCAACCGTAAACCAGTAACCCAAACGAGCAGGCCATGATCCAAGCGAAACCGCGATCCAAACTGTCCGACCCCTGCTGCATTCGAAAGCCTTCAACGATCTGATGTGCACCAGTCCCAAGGCCCGTGCCAGCCCAATCAAACACCTCGAGCCGATGCCGTCTTCCCTTCGCGATCGAAAAGAAGAAGAACGCCGCCGAGAAACTCCAACCCTAATCCATAGGGAGACGTCCGCTTCGTCTTTCATTGATGATTAACTAGTTCACCCAATTTGTACAAACTTATTTGATCAGTATTTAATACTCATTGTTCTTATTGTTATTATTTCAATCGTTGACGATTTATATATTTGCGCAATTCCCATTCGATTCATATCATATTAGATTAGTTTATTTTGGAATAAACATATGCCCTTCCCCAATCGTTCAAGAATGCGGACCTCCATCTAGTACCTAGTAACATAGTTATTAAACCACCACACTCCTTGCCTATAGTTTTGTCATTTATACATTTCGAAATGCTTTATTAGTGTGGATTTTCTGGAAGGTATTTGGAAGTAGGAGAAGAGAATGAAGGAATTAACTTTATTCATATGGTTTAATATGTATTTATACATCATCTTAACCGTCTGCAACTAATATCCAAGCTTATCTTCACTTCCCCTCCTCAAGTAGGACTTAGGGTACGTGTTAAAACATGTCCTAACTTAAAAATGAATGTCTCATGATGTTTTGCTCCTAATGCTTTTGTAAAGATATTAACAGGTTGAGATCCAAATGAGATTTAATGGTATGTTTGAGATAGCGAGCAAGGAACAAGGAAACTTGCATGTGACTTATTCTTCGATTATTTATGAATTAACGTAGTTGTATAGTGTTAGACCCCTTTTTGGCGGGTCTTTATCGAGACATGGTTTGGGCTCGATAGGGTGGCTTTCGGGGTATGGGATGCGGCCAAAGTCATCGTGGCAATGGCCAAGGCATAGGTATGCCGCGGCATTGCAACATTGCGAAGAACGGGCAAGGTGGAAGTTTGGCTAAGGCATGTGGGCTTAGTCAAGACAAGGCAAGCTAGACCAAGTATGAGGGCAGAACGGTTGGCATTGCGAGAAACCATGTTCGGTTCATGGGAGGCATGACATGGTCAAGGAAGACTATGGGTGTGCGGGTCCGGCATGTGGTCCAAGTGTTGGTGAAGATCAGTGGCATGTGGGGCATGGCTTACGGGATGCGGAACAACAGCTTCGAGGCACGGCAAAAGCAAGTGGCTCAAGGTGGCACGTGGGCGACTCAAGGGTAGTGCGTGGTGCGTGGCCACGCTTGAGCCCGGGGCGTGGCTGTCCTTGGGCAGTCACGACATTTGGGAGCTTCGATGGCAACGAGGGTTGGTTGGCCAGTTGACAAGTGGGACTTGGGCAAGCTGGGCGCAAGGCAACGAGAGTTGGCCACAAGCTCAAGGCATAGAGTTGGCTCGTGGGTGGCCTGGGTTAGGCCGCGGCATGAGTACAAGCTCGAAGAGGCGTGTCGGTTCGGTGAGGCATGGCTCAAGTCTGGAAGGGCAGGGCGGTTACACACGAACAAGTGCCTTGGGGCGAACCGGTGGCAAGGCAGTTGAGGGCTTCGGGCGAACAAGTCTTTGGGCAGACCGGAAGGCCGCGGCATAGGCGGTTGGTAACTGCCACATGCGAAGAGACGCGTCCCTTCAGGCTAGGCAGTTGGCTTGTAACTGCCTGACGTGGCTCGTCTATAAATATGCAGCGGCATAACTGCGAATTTTGTAGTCTTAGCGAGAGACAGCAGTGTCGCCGAGTGTTTGCAAGTGTGTTAGACATTGTGAACGTGTTGTATTAGTCCTAGTGTATTAATTGTAAATTAATACAAGGTTGGTTGTTGATCGTAAAGTCGTGTGCTTTTATTCTAAGTGTGTGTTAAAGTGTAGCGTTCCTATTCCAATTAAGGGTTGCGCCGCGGCATTGGGTGGAAGGCTGACTGTCTTAAGGGGTTAAGGCAGGCCGTACAGGGTGAAAATTCTAGACGTGAATTTTACCGTGTAACATATAGTATAGGGAATGTCTATACTTGTCAAGTTTAGATATAGAAATCTTCCAATCAATCTTCTATATAGTTCATTATCGATCATCAAGAAGTTCACTTGTATCAACTAATAATAGTTTTAGCTCGGCAGGTATAGGGAAATGAGCACACTAACAATGTATCATCTCGATGTCATGTTAAATGTCCAAAATGTGTTTTCTTTAATTGAAAATGATACCTTGATCATTTAATTTCATGCTACCTCTATCCCCAAGAAATAACGAATTGGACCAAGGTCGTTGATATTAATAGCTTTATCTAAAGCATCCTTTGTCTTCTGTATTTACTCCTTTTAGTTTCCATTAATCAATAAATCATTCATATAAGCAAGTAATGATGTGAATATTTTTACTTCACACTTGATGAACAAAGAATAATGTTGCTTTGACTATTGAAAACGCAATCTAATAAAGATATTATGAGTTCAAGATTTCACTGTATGAAAGCTTGCTTCAATCCATACAATGATCTTTAATTTTGAGTTTACATACTTGTCCCACTTCTGCATTTTGATATCCTTATGCGATTTGCAGGTAAACTTCTTCATCAATACATTATTCATCTAAGAACGCATTATTTGTGTGGCCAGTTGATGTATCAGCCATCCTTCGGCTAATGCTAAGGAAATCAATATACCCATTGTAGTTAATTTAGCAATAAGGTTGAAGGTGTGTTTAAAATATTTTCCTTCATTTTGATTACACACTTTTGCTACCAGTCTCACTTTGAAATATACAACTTTTTTCATCTGGCCTGTACTTTACTTTACATACCCATTTAACGCCAATAGCATTCTTTCCTGCAGGTAAGGGAGTTAGTTCCCAGGTTTGATTGTGATAGAGAAAAATGTGCAAGTATATCATGTAACAAGAATTATTAGGTAAACAATGTGCCTTGCATGCATTGTTCTTATTTCTGTTTAGAGAGGTGAGAGGTGGGAACAACTTTATTTATGCGGTTATTTGCTGCAAGTATATAAAGATCACTCCTCTCTCTTCCAAGAAATATCTTCTTCTCATTTGAAGTGTTTTGTATATAACACCCATAATTATTGATAATCTCTGTCATGTTAGTGTTTTTCAATAATTGTCCTATAAATTATAGGCTGTGTTGAAACCTAGGCACATACATAACTTGTTTAAGATTAATTCTTTCATAAAGAATAACATCACAAATTATTTAACCTTTTTCACATTCCCATCCGGAAGAACAAAATTGATAGGCTCAAGTATATGACTTATTAATCAATATATTGACGGAACTAAAGTTGTATGTGCCTCAAAATACAATTAGATCAAACCAGATTTGAACAGACATAAAATACACAGAGAACAGACATTTACCAGACTAGATTAGATCAAACTAGCAAATATCAGTTCAAGTAAAAACGTCTTTGTTCCAAAAAAATTCCATTTTTCGTTTTATGTAATGAATTTGTGGTTCAATTTATTTCTCTCTACTCAGCACAAATTTCAGCAATACAATTTTACTTTTCTTATTTGATAGTCAACTCAAACTTGACAATGTTCAATGGGGAGTTAGGGGACTATGTTTTAATTATCCAAATTTAGAAAATTGAGAAATGTAGTGTTTAATCCTTGCTAGAGGGAGAAAAATAAAACATGGAGTCCTATTTAGGAAAAAAACTGACTTTGGTAGGTGTTAATTTTTTTTTTTGACAAATGTTATGTGTTAATCTTATTTTGTGCAATTTTCACAATTAAATAATGAGTATCTACTCTATAATTTACGGAGTATTTAAAAGTAAATAACTTACTCCAACGAAGATTGTGTGTGGGTCAACTGTTTTTCACGAGACAATTTGCACCCAACTAAAAGTACTTAGGCAATACGTTTACCAATCTTAATGGTGCATTATTTACCTCACGCAAATACCAGTTCCAGTGAAAATGTCATCATCTCCTTGAAATGAACACCGCTATTATTCTTACGTACATGAAACTTGAAACTTTGGTTATAATAGAGCTAGACCTAACAATCGTGTGTTATCTAACAAGAAAATTAAAAACGATCGGCCAAAATAGGACTATCATGTTTGATTCTTAAATAGGAGTGAATATTGACATACACGATATAAGTTTTTAGATTATCAGACTTTATTTAGGACAACTTTTGTATGCATCGTATTTAGGACACCTAGTTATTGATATTTACTTACAAATTAAACCTCATACGACTATACAAGTATTTAGTTTATTTCTTTGCACGCTAAAGTCAAGTAGGTACTTGTTAATGTCTTTTTCTTCATCTTTGGGATATAAGAACTTAATTACTTGGGCACATCTTGTGTTAAGAAAGTGTAAAATTATATGCTCATATATGGTTTTGTGAACATATTTACGTGTAAAATTTGACAACAAAATCACACAATCTAAAATTACGTCTAGAGATGATGCCTCTTAATTAGTATATACATACATGTAATGTCTTTCATTTCATGATTATAGCTTAAGAACATAATCTTTTAGAGGTTTGCATTCCAACAACTCAAACAAGATATCAAGCGGATAATGGCAATTTCATCATCATTAGCAAATCCTTGCCTTCTTGCATTCCCCTCGAACATCACAGTGCATACCCAATCCCTCTCAAAACCCAATATCAAACTCACAATTCAAACAAAACAGATCGACATAGCAACAAAATGTGCTACCATGAATTCTGTCACCATTACAGAAACTGCTCCCAAGAAAATTCAGAAGGTCCATCCCAATTCACACCCTCTAACCCCAGTTGATTTCTTGGAAAGGGCTGCCACTGTGTATGGAGACTGCCCTTCAATTTTGTACAATGACACAACATACACGTGGTCAGAGACTTATGAGCGGTGCTTGAATCTCGCTTCCTCCATTTCATCCCTTGGGGTCAAGAAAGGCGACGTCGTCTCTGTCTTGGCCCCGAATATACCCGCCATGTACGAGCTGCATTTCGCGGCTCCAATGGCAGGTGCAGTTTTGAACACCATTAATATACGTCTCGATGCTCGGACAATTTCCATTATTCTCCTTCATAGTGAGTCAAAGCTCGTGTTCGTGGATCACCAATCATGTTCCTTAGTCCTAGAAGCTATGTCTATGATCCCATCAGCTGTGTGGTCAAAGCGTCCGATTTTAGTTTACATTGATGAAGAAGGAGAAGAAGAAGACGAGACTAGTTTTGGTGGAAATAAGAAAGGTTTGTTTCGTCACTCTTATAGTGACATGTTAAGGGGAGGCAATTGTGAGTTCAAATATGTGGGGCCGGATAGTGAGTGGGATCCGATAACGTTGAACTACACTTCCGGGACCACTTCTTCACCCAAGGGTGTGTTACACTGCCATCGTGGAGCGTTCGCTGCCACAATTTCCAGTTTGGTCAACTGGTCATTGACGTCGGAGTCGGTGTTCTTGTGGACACTACCGATGTTTCACGCTAACGGTTGGAGTTATGCTTGGGCCATGGCAGCGGTCGGCGGCACCAATATTTGCCTCCGCCACCGAGTCGACGCTGATTCCATCTACCAAGCGATTGCAAAGCACGGGGTAACCCACTTCTGCGGCGTGCCGGCCGTTCTCAATATGTTGGCCAATCACTCTACAAAGACCGGCCAGCTACGCACTCCGGTTCACATACTCACTGCCGGAGCTCCGCCTCCGGCCGCCGTTCTTGAACGGATTGAGTGGTTGGGTTTCCGGGTGACCCACGGGTATGGGATGACCGAAACCGGTGGCTTAGTTGTGACATGTGCATGGAAACCAAAATGGGATAAGCTCCCAGCACTTGAAAGGGCGGCACTCAAGGCAAGGCAAGGTGTTCGCAGCGTGGGATTCGGCGGCGTTGACGTGGTCAACACGCACACCGGAAAGAGCGTGAAGCGAAATGGGAAGACGGTGGGGGAGATCGTTTTAAAAGGCGCAAGCTTGATGCTTGGCTACTTCAAAGACCCCGACGGAACCTCGAAATGCATGACAGAGGACGGGTGGTTCTACACTGGCGACATTGGCGTAATGCACACTGACGGGTACGTCGAAGTGAAAGACAGATCGAAAGATATTATAATTTGCGGCGGCGAGAACATTAGCAGCGTGGAGGTGGAGTCTGTTCTGTACATGCATCCGGCCGTCAATGAGGTAGCGGTGGTGGCGCAGCCGGACAAGTTTTGGGGGGAAACAGTGTGCGCATTCGTAAGTTTGAAGAGAGGGGCCGAGAAACCGACAGAGAAAGAGGTGAGGGAATTCTGCAAGGAACGTCTGCCGCTATACATGGTGCCAAGAAGGGTGGTTTTCAAAGAGGCGCTTCCCAAGACGTCTACCGGGAAGATTCAAAAGTTTCTACTAAGGGATATTACTAGGAAATTATAATAGAAACAAAATGAACTTTCTATTTTACTAATTTTATTAGCCCACCAATAAATCTAACTAATTAAACGTTTCTCCCATAGATCCTTCACAAAAGTAATGTATTTGAAAACATTTCTATTATGAAGTCCTAACACTTAACATACACCACAATTTATGTACAGCCATGTATGATTTCATACATGATTTCACTCTGAGTGATATGGACCTAACTTGACTCAACATAATCATTCACTTTTGTTATGCAAAATCCTAATATAAAAATGTATAGTTTTGGTAAAACCACATATGAGATCATAGTGTAGTCGTATTGGTTTAAAATATATTACCTCCATCCCCAAAACAAGTTCCCCATTGTTTTTCACACATATTAAGGAAATAAATTTACTGAGGGGTAAATTTTACTATTGGGACACTTCTTTGACACTGTTTGACACTATTTGGCACTGTTTTGATGTAGATAAATTGCCAAATAAGGAAAGAGGAACTTAATTCAGCTAGGGACTGTCCAAAAAGGAAAGGGGGAACTTGTTTCAGGGACGGAGGAGTATTTATTTAAGGATACAGATACAACAAAGAAAAATATGAAAACGAACCCGAATAAGTTCCTCCTTAGCTAAACCCTGAGCACATAGAACAACATTCCAAACTCCATCCACTCGTATATGAGCCTAGTCCTCATATGATGTGACCGCACCGATTCTTCATCTTATACATTTTTTCCCGAGTGCTGTTCAAATTCTCTATAGGGAGACAATTTTCTCTCTTGACTAACCATCTTTATCACAAATCTCTTTATTTGCATTAGAGTTTCATGGATCCTCAATCATCAAAATAGAAACTCTCTTCTAATTCTCCGATACATATCATGACCAAGAAATGTTTAACCGAAGATGAATTTAACAAATCGCCATAAAGCCCCTCACGAGTGGAAGTTTCAGAATGATGCTTAGAGAAGCTGACTTCTAGGAACTACCAATTTGAATACGCGCGACCAGTAATACCCAAGTCTGACTCTGAAGCTTTCATTATCTCATTATCAACTTTCTATGAAGCTATATATGTCCATGTGAACTGCTTCGATTTCTTCAGTAGGCCTCATAATCAATTAAAGGAGAAACCAATTTCACTACATTTAGTCATATTGGTCTGAAAGAGGTCTTTAAGAGAGCCACATCCAGGGTTCGCTCGGAATTAGGAACGTCATAAAATGAAATCAGGTATTTTCAAGAACCTCACTTGAAGCATGTTCAATCGCTAGTATTTTCAAGGGAAGGAGATCACTCCCGAAGTCATTGGTGTTACCTGGTAGAACCTCACTTGAAGCATGTTCAATCGCTAGTGGCGGCTGCACAGAATTAATTTTTGTCATCAAGGTAATTGCTCGTGTAATCCTTGTCACAAATCGATATATTCCCAAGCCATTTCATCCTTCAAAAATAAATAAAGGGTCATGTCCCTTCTTGGGGGTAATGCAGATAAAACCTTCAAAGAAATTGGCATCGTAGTATATGACAAAAGGAGTTATTCAGCTCTAGCTTAGTACAAGTCCAATTAGGGGAAAGTAGCCTCAGAATGAAGTCTTTCAACCAAATAACACTTTCAAGATCCAAATCAGTGGCGGGTATAATCCAATGATTCATTTCAGATATACAAATACTATTGCAATCCAGAATATTAATAATCCAAAACGGAGGCTCAGACTCTGAAATGAAATTGAAATTGAAATTCGTTCAATTGATGGATGAGTTATTTTATACTACTCCGTTCAAATTGATTTGCAAAGTTGATTTTTCTTGGTCAATAGTTCCATTTTATTTGCTTAATTAGGATGCTAATTTTTAATTATATTCTAATTTGAAGTTTGCAACTTGAAGAGATTTTAATGCAGTTTGTGAATATAAAAATTTTAATTATTAAAAATTGAGTTAATTATCGATTGGGAGGATTGACTTTTATTATTGATTGACCAAAAAAGGTTGAATTTCGCAAAACAATTTGGGACGGAGGGAGTATTGTGTTTTGTGTGTACTTATTTGTTACTGTTGTATGATTAATGTGTAATCTTTATCTTCTAAATAAGATTAGAACTAAAAGTTATTAAAAGGTTTGACATATAAGCAAGAAACATTATGAAAAAGCAAGAAGAAATCTTTTGAGAGCATATAGAAGGAGCTTGGAGACAAAAGAAAGATTCATGAGAAGACTGATGGTGTAAATTTTCTATTATGTATGTTTGTATTTTTAACTAGTTTTATTAGTTCTAGTTGTGGAAATTACACACTTTTGGTGTAATACTTTATTTTCATTAATTATTTGTAATTTATTTAGATTAGGATTATTCTGAGCTTAGTACAGGTCAAAATCATCCCAAGAATCAAAGGTTGGATCCTAAAGACCAAAGAATGTGCAAAAGGGAGAAGATCAAATGAAGATTTTGATATTTGTTCAATACTCGGTCGAGTATTGCCAATAGTCGGTCGAGTATTGGTCAGATACGCTGGTCAAAATCAAATCTGGGAGCAAAAGAACGTGGCTGAATATTTGATGAAAATCCTGTCATACTCGGTCGAGTATTGGCAATACTCGGTCGAGTATGCCTATTTTTCACAATTTCCTGGAAATTTCCTCTCATACTCGGTCCAGTATCCCCAATACTGGATCGAGTACAGAACCCTGCCACCTCCATTTTGCTATAAATACACCCCTTTTCCTTCACATTAAATCATCCCTTCTTTCATACTCTTAAGCTCAATTTAGAATAGTATTTCTTTTATATTTTTATAGCATGTTTAGTCTCCAAATGAGGAGCTAAACTTCCATTTCTTGGTGTTGCTCTTGAAGCTTGTTGATTATTAAAGTTGTGAGTTATTTTCTTAACTTCTTCCCTTGAATATTAATTCTTCCCTTAATCTATCTATATATTAATGATGGGGAGTGTTGCTAAGATGACAATTAGTTAACATCTTGACATTAGTTATAGTAGGATTTATCATATTTAATATTCTTCCTTGAATATTAATTAATTCTTATTCATATTTCATATTAATATTTTGAACATTACTTAAAGGATCAACTAGTTTTGTTTCATTTATTAATTATTACTAGAATCGATCGACGAATACGCTTGTTAATCGTTGATGGTTTCACAAGTAAGTAACTTCGGTTTATTAATGCACGGTCGTGGTTAATAAACTTAAGAGGGATTAATTTTGTTGGTTAAACCAAAACTGTTGTGTTGAGGTTATCAATCTCAATTGATTTCATCAAGGAGTTAAGAGATTAAATGCTACTATCAAGTCGGTATATGGCGGTGTTCTATACTTGAATAATAGTAAGGGTTATTAATGAACGGTCATTGTTAATAACTACCCTCGATGAATTGGATATACTCCTCGATTGAGTATTCGAGAGGGGATAAGTTATAGATATAACAATGATCGACTAAAATATATCAACAAGTGGAAAGTAGCAATGCCAAGTCCTTTTATCTTTGAATTAAATCTCATATAAGTCGTTCACCTTTGTGTTTAATTAAATTAAATCATTCAATCCTAAACCCCCCTTTTCTTTACTAGTTTTATAAAAAGAGAATTATTCCTTTCCCTGTGGATACAAACTCTACTACGCTATACTATGTATAAGTGTTAGTATTGAATTTATTTTGACGCACTGTGACAAAAGTGCTCGTCAAAGACAAATAGTTCAAAGAAGAAAAACTGATTTGACACACACGGTCAAGTATATCCAATACCTGATCGGGTATGTTCACAGTTGAGACACTGTTTGGCACTATTTGGCTTCACAGTTATTAAGGAAATAAAGTTGACTTTACTGTAGAGTACACTGTTGAGACACTGTTTGGCACTGTTTGGCACTGTTGAGACACTATTTGGCACTGTTGAGACACTGTTTGGCACTGTTTAGCACTGTTTAACACTGTTTTGATGTAGATTTCTTTGCCAAATAAGGAAATAAGGAAGTGTGGAGTTTATTTTGGACCGTCCCAAAAAGGAAAGTGTGAAGTTTATTTAGAACCGAGGAAGTAGTTTCTTCTTGTTCATATTTCATATTAATATTTGTGCATCGCTAGGTGACCTATTGGTTGATATTTTCATATTGATTGGTATTGGTACTAAAATCAATCAATAAATATGCTTGTTACTCACTTGATCCTGTCATAACTAGTAACTTGAGATTATTAATTCATGTCCCTCCTGGTAATTTATAATCTAAAGGGTAAATAATTATATTTGTTAAACCGAACAACCGTCCGTGTGAGGTTATCAATCTTAGTTGATGTAATTAGATGATCAATGGATGAATTAGATAGAATAGTTGGACCTGAGATGCTTGAATCGACACCCGCAAATACTCACCTCGGGTTGCATTAGCTTATATTCTTAATTGATTTCATTAAATCGGTTGAATGATACTATTAAGATCAATACATGAAGTTTGTTCTGTATTGACTAATAGTAAGGATTATTAAGGAGAGTTTTTCGTTATTAATAAGTACATTTGATGAAGTGGACGATTTAATCTTCGCGATTAACTATTCAAGAGGAGAAGGTTAAAGTAGTAACTATGATCAACGAGCACTTCGTTAAGTGATCAAGTTTAATTCATTCAACTTAGTTTTTATTTGTTTTATCACAATATCTGAACTCCCCTTTTCGTTATACTTTGGTTTTTTTACGCTTACACACATACAAAAAACTTTTTTCCCGGTAGAGTTCTACTATATTTAGTGCTAGTGGAGTAGTGGTGAATCTATTAAATTCTGAAGTACAAGGAACTTTAATGTTGTCGATTCCCAAATATGTAATTGAGTAATTCCGTCGGTAGAAGTCCATGTGTAAAGTCTGTCCGGCCGTCGTAGTTTTGTTGTTGTCACTGTGTAGAGGATTTTGGGGAATCCGAGTTTTTCATCTCCCCTTCAACATGAATAGAGAAGGAGCTAGATAGGATCGTTGTCTGCCTTCACGCTGGAGACCACTTTCGACTGGATGTTGTCGCTGATGGCACTAAAGTCAAATGTGCCTTAAAATAAATTTACTACTTGCATTAATATCGTAGCATAGCACACTAGAGTTCATATCCGCACAGAATGTAATTCTTTTTTGTGAAATTGTAACAACGGCGGACTTTTAAGATTATTTGAACTTGAAGAATATTAGAATACTTAAACGAATGAATTGTGTGATTAAAAATCAATGAGATTGAGACTTGGTTGTAGGTACTCCTTCCTTTTTTTTATTATTTTTTTGGCAAGGAAAAGAGAATTTTATTAAAGATAGAGTAAACGAGAGTAAGAAAAGTAAACAAAAGAGAACGAAAAACAAAGATAAAAAACAACCAAAAGCCCTACCTGAAATTCTAGTGCTCCCTCCAAATATTTCCCTAAGACTTGTATAATTCTTCAAAATCAACTCTAGTTTGGGATCTTGTTCTCAAACGGTGTGAGCGCTGATTCTTTTTCCTATATATCTTAAGTTGGGTGTTCAAGTTCTCTGTAGGCAAGCAATTTTCTTTTGTGACCAACCTAGCTTTGAAACAAATATCTTGATTAGTATCGGAGTCCCACAGAACTGCCGTTGATGAAATAGGTAACCTCTTCTCGCTTTCCGAAGCATGTCCAAGAAATTCATCCCCGAGTGTAAAAGGAGTTGCTCACCATAGAGACCTTCACAATCAAAAGTTTCAAAATCTTGATTACCTGAAATAATATCCCCTAAAAAATTAATACCATGGTGTGTGTTTACGAAATGAGTGGTGTTCTCTTCATGAGTAGGTTTCGTATTTAGAATCCTTTTATTAGTAGTAGCTACCCCTTCATCAGCAGGTCTCAAATGGTTACCCAATGTAGAGATTAGGATTTTTTCAAATTCTTTGAGTAGAAAATGGGAAAGCGAATCCACCCCATTCGTCAAAGAGGTTTGAATAAAATCCTTAAGAGAGTCAATTTCAAATGCTTGCTCACAGGGGCGAAGCCAGGGCACTGGGCCAGACTGGGCCGATACAAAGAATTTTTTTAGAAAAAATTTTACACAGAATTTTTTACCTTAAAAATTAAGCCATTTTTTAAATTTGGGGTGGGCCATAGCCTAGGTTGGCCCACCCCTAGCTCCGTCCATGCTTGCTCAGAACTGTTATCATCCTCCAGAGAAGTCAACACTTTTGGGTTATCCAAGGAATGCAGATTGTCAACATAAAATTGGAGCAATGCTTTTGAAATGGAGAGATCCTCCTCGCAGACGTCCCTATTCAGCATGCAGGGCAAAATATCTCATTCAGAAGTATTGGGGTCATAAACCACTTGTTGTAATATTTATTAATCATAATTACTTCTTTCACAATCCCTTCCTAAAAAAGTGAATTATAACGAAGAAAAAGCGAAAACATCACTGAATAGCCTAAATAGGGTCGAAGTACTATTTTTTTAGGAATTTTATCAATTCAGGACCCGAAAGTTAGATTAATTATCAATTCAGGACCTGAAAGATGAAATGTATCAGTATAGGACCCGAATGATGAAAAACTATCAATTTAGGACCTAATATTTCAAAGGTTTTGATTTATTTAATTTTTTTATTAAATCCATTACTAATTTTTGATAAACTTTTCTTCACAAAAGTTTATTAGTTTAATAAAACTAATTAATATTTAAAATTTTTAAAATAAAAATAATAATAAAATTCATGACAACTTAGGTCCTATATTGATAGTTTCCAATCATTCAGGTCCTAAATTGATAGTTTTTCATCATTCGGGTCCTATATCGATACGTTTCATCTTTCGGGTCCTGAATTGATAATTAATCTATCTTTCGGATCCTGAATTGATAAAATTCTATTTTTTTAAGGAGTAATCTTCCGGTCAGGAATTTCCTGACCGGAGCGCCGTCCGGCCTCCTTCTTTTTGTGGCCTTCCCGGTGGTATTTTTTGCTCAAATATTTTGTGTATGTTCCTCATCAAGTCTAGTTCATCTATACCAAATGTCAGCGAAAACTTCAATCGGGAAGGTCGTCAAATTATTTTTGCAAGTTAACTGGTCCGGAAAATACATATTCCGGACCAGTTAACTTGCAAAAATCATTTGACAATCTTCCCGATTGAATTTTTTGCTGAAATTTGGTGTGGATGAACTAGACTTGATGAGGAACATACAAAAAAATGTGATCAAAATATACCACCGTGAAGGCCCCCAAATGGAGGAGGCCGGACGGGGCTCCTGTCCGGAAATTCCGGACAGGAATAATCCTGTTTTTTTAAGTACTATTTTTTTTCTTAAATATGAATAATTATTATTGGGACAAGGCTTGGATGTTGTTGTTGTTGTATGAATAATTATTACTATTATGAACGATACTAATAATGTTTAGTAGTATAATGCCATAATTTTATTTTCTTTTGTGAGGATAATATTATATTATGTCTTAATTACCATATGACAGTATATGATAAATATTTTAGTCTTAGGATATTTTCTTTTGGACTGAAATTTGTTGGTATGGTCTCTTCTGGTTGAATTTGCCTGGTCTGATAAATGTCTGTTCTCTGTGTATTTTATAATTATAGAAGTCTGATTTGGTCCGGTCTGTTTAAGTTTGATCTGGTCTGATTTGTTTTAGTCTGATCTGATTTGATATGAGACTGAAAATAGTCCAAAAGAAAACATCTTAGTTTGAGATAAAAACATAATACTGCTAATTAGGGAAACTATCTGGATTTACTCATGATTTGGAAGTTTACCAAAACCTACTATTACAGCATAAGTATTTGCAACTTAATCCTTATCGTTTGAATATTTGCAAATAAACCGCCACATTTGTGCACAATAACGGCAATTTATATCCTACACCCGGGTGTACATCAGTACATGTACACCCGGTTTTTTTTTGTAATTAATAGCAAGTATGGTATAAGGATAGTTAATAGACTGAGTTGAGCTGCTTCCATTTTTTTCCGTCGCATGCATGCTCCCTGCGCTCCCCTTCCTGAACGTGAGTGGGGCTGATCCTTTTTATTCTCCTTTATCCTTTCTAGCTACTTTAATGTTTGTACTTTTTTTAAGACAAAATAACTTTAAATAATACCAACTATCTTCAATGAACCAATAATAATACATACTTTAGAAATAACTTTTAACAATACCAACTATCTGAATGTGAACCAAAAATAAAATAGAGACACTTTTCTACAAGAAATTTAGCCACTTAAGACATCAAAAACTAAGATCAATCATCAAATATTCTCTCCGTCCCGCTAAGATTGTCCCATTTTACCTTTTCGGGAAGTCCCACTAAGATTGTCCCATACCAAATTTGGTAAAGATTGTGTGGCTCTAAACCATTCTTACTTTATTCTTAATATCAACCACACAAACTCACTTTTCTTAATAATCGTGTCATCTTCTTCCGTCCCAATCTTAGTGGGACGGAGGTAGTAATTGATATTTAAAAATATGATCACCTATTTGATATTTTGATATTAGTTTTTGATGAATTGAATAAATAAATTTTTAATGAAAATTTGCTATATATCACTTTTGATAGATAATCAAATAGTTGGTATTATTAAAAGTTATTTCTCAAGTTGGTATTATTCTTGATTCATGGAAGACAGTTAGTATTATTTAAAGTTATTTTGCCTTTTTTTAATTTTTTTTCTCCTTTCTTTTATTGTTTTTTATTGTTTGTTCTCCTATCTTTTTGTTTTTGTTTTTTAGTAATCTTCTATTCTTCTACTTTAATGTTATATTCTATTATTATGAAAATGTATAATATAAAATATTATAAAATCTATAATTTATTTTAAACTCAAATGAGTAAAATGACTAAATAGAACGAACGTACACAAATGAGCTTTTGGATTTTTGAAAACTCATTTTTAAGTTATGTATGTCCATTTAGTACCTTTGTTATGCTCATTTTAAAAAGTTATATCAATGCATATTTCAAAAGTTTCATATTACATTAGATTCACATAGAAGTTGATTATAGACACGAGACCACAAATCATGATACTCAATCGCACGATTCTAATACTCAATAACGGAAGTTTGATGCTCACTGAAAATGTCTTGATGCTCAATGAACAAAACTTACAATTTTCTTATCAATGCTCATCTTGTAAGTTACATATGCTCATTTGTATAGGTCTGATGCTCATTAAAAATTCATTAATGCTCATGGAACAGAAATCGTGATTTCCATCGATCTCAATCGATGAGGTTTGATACTCAATGAAAATGTCGTGATATTCAACTAACAAACCTTACGATTTTCATATTAATGCACATTTTGCAAGTTAAGTATGCTCATATGGTACTGATCTTGTGCACATTTTGTAAATGTCATATCAATGCATTTTTAAAAGTACTATTCTACATTAGATTCACATATTGAAATTCATAGGAGTTGATTATAAATATAATGTAATAAGTTTTTGTAGAAGTTATGAAGCAGAGATCACGATTCTGAATATTAGACTCCTAATACTCAACATAATAGGTTTGTTGCTCATTAAAAGTTCATTAATGCTCATTCACCAGAAATCGTGATTTTCATGTCAATAGCGGAGATTTTATGCTCAATTAAAATGTCATAATGTTCAACTAACAAACCTTACGATTTTCATATCAATGTGCACTTTGTAAGTTATGTATGCTCATTTGGTACTGATGTTATGCTCATTTTTAATTGTTATATCAATGCATATTTCAAAAGTATCATATTAAATTAGACTCGCATATTGAAATTGATAGGAGTGTATTATAGATATAATTTAATAAGTTTTTATAAAAGAAAAAATATGAAAAAGAAAAAAAAATTAGAAGATTTGAAGCAGGCGTCGTGATAATCATTGATAGTCTCTTAAATACTCAATAAAATAGGTCTGGTGCTCATTAAAAATACATTATTGCTCATTTAACGGAAGCCGTGATTTTTCGCTTAAATTACAAAAATGCCACCGAATTCTTTTTGGCCTGTATCAGGTATTGGGTTGTCTTCCTTAGTTGGACCGGGTGTACGTACACCCGGATGTACCATATAGGCACTCCACAATAACGGCCCATTATAGTGTGACTGAGAACAAGATACGTAGTATGTTATTTACCGTGATATGGCCCAATCATGATTCATGAGTAATTATAAACCTAGGTCTATTAATTACCTAGCTAATTAAACTCGGCCATCGACAACATAGGGAAACTAAAGTGTAGAAATTCCGTGGTACGTATTTCAATTATTATTGTAATGGAAGAAGAACTTCAAAGATTCTTCAAGGTGTTGATGCCTGGTTTCGAAACAAAACTTGTAGGCCACCTCTTGATCTCCTTTGTTAATTTCAATCTTTAATAATTTATACGGCATAAAATAACGATATTGGCAAAGACTTGTCACGATTTGATCGAATTTGACATATTTTTGGCATGACGTTGTGTCAAATAGCAGGCGACAAATTCACATTAGTACAAAGTTGACATATCTGTGCCAAATTCTTTACGAATTTGACATATTCATGCTAAATTCGTGCCAATATTGTTATTTTCGATGGTAACAATTACTTTTTTCGCTAATCGATAAATATGTTTGGGAAAATTATTTAATGTGTGACAGATGCTTCCCCCGGTAATATGTGAGAAGCTGCGTGGAATAGAGTCAAAAGGAACGATTATGTTAGAGAGCCAAAAGGGAAGATGGGTCGTACAAATAGCAAAATGCGAAGAAGGAAATCTATGGTTGACAGAAGGATGGAACAAGTTTGTGCGTCAACACGAATTGGAGGTCGGAGATTTTGTGGTGTTCAAACGTATGGGTAGGAGCATGCAATTTAAGGTCACTCTGTTTGATCGTTCTTGCTGCGAGAAAGATCTTTGCCCTAGCGGCGGCGGCGGCACGCTAGAAACTAATAACGACGGTAAGTGGTTATCATTGACCTAGTTAGCCTTTTTTTTTTGCGTTTTGAACGCGTTTTAAATGCGTGCTGCTTTTTTGAGTAAAAGAGCACGTTAAAAACCAAAAATAATATTGATCCACTTAAAAAACGGAAAAAACTCAAGATTTGGTTTCTAGACTATATGTCATTTAATTGTTTAGATCTGTCAAATTTCGGTTTGATTTGACCTTAAATATATAGTTAAATGGCCACACAAAATAAAGTCTAAATCTGGTCTGATAAACATACACGCAAGATCTTATTAATATGTGCAAATGATCTTACTTCGTACTACGTATTTACTAAATTTTCAAGCTATTAATCTTGTGAAACTAAGTACATTGATAGACAAAGTCGTCTACAGGTAAATGTGATAGGTACTTTTGTATGTAAGAAGTAAGGAAGTATATTTGCTTAACAAATGGCATAGTTGACCAACAACTACTACACACGAATTGAAGAGATGACGTATACGGGAATTCTTGGGTTTGAAACTCCATGGAGGAAGTTCCACCCCCGAACAAGGTCGCCAACCCGGCAACCCCTTTCCCCTGAGCCCCGGGTAATAAAAAAAACACTATTTATTTGTGTGTATGCTTGCAGGTGTATCTAAGGTGGAAGTTAACGAAGAAGATGCACATGTCCAAAGACACACTAATCGTATCAAAAGCTCCATGAAGGGTAAAATGAATGATGTTGGAATTGATGGAGCACATAGCATGGTCCTCATGGATGTCGGCAGTAAGTTAATTGAATCAGTAGTAGTTAGTTATGTTATGAAATGGAATGAAATAAGTAAAAGATTAGGAGAAGAAAATATATTATATATATTAATTCTTGATTTAGTTGTTGTTAACGTTAAGTTGTGTTAGTTACAATAGGAGAAAGTGTGAGCTCATCCAAATTAGGAGACGATTGTGAGACATATAATTGTCAGACACTCACACTTAATCATGAATAATCCGAAATTTACTAATTCATTTATATTTTAACATATAATAATATTTTGTTTACTTATTGTTAGTGTAGGAAAAAGAGGGCGTCCTAAGGCGGGAAGCATAGTTTCACAGAGCCAAAAACAACATATGTCACCAATGAGGTCATACAATGTCCGTAAACAAGGGCCGTATTTGGTATGCTTTGAATTCTTGCAAATTACTACTTACAACTTTTCCCTCTTATACATACGAGTCTCTACGTTCAAAAAGGTTTGCTCAATTTGTTTTCCTTGATCGAGCATAATGATTTTGACCAGTGATATTTTTAATACGAAATTGTTTTGAATATAAAAATCATATCAAAATTCCCCTTTTAAATATATTAATAAAAGTATAAAATTTACGTAGTGCTAATATAAATTATACGGAATATGTAAGTATAATAATTAAAATTATTCTTCAAAGTTTGTCATCATTGATCAAGAAAAGACAACATTTTCGCGAAGAAGAGATATCATATACTACGTATAAAGCTTTTTGGGACAGATTGGGTAATTTCTTTTAGCAAACGTGTTTTCTCATTCAAGTAATTCCACTAGTATGCTATTCTCGATCATATTTTAGCTTTTTTATTTAATTTTATGGCATTTCGACAAACGCTTGTTTTAAATCTCACACAATATGTGTTATGGAAAAGATTGATTTAAGGTGTAAAAATAATACTCCTTCAAAAATTGTTCTAAGTAGTATAAAATTCAAAAATGTGAACAATACTTTTTTTATTCGCCAAACGATGAGAGTAATTCATAACATGCTTAGTAAATACATACATAATTATCCCAAGTAATCACAATATAATTTTGGACCTCACTAAATAATACAAGTACATATTCACGATGTTTGAGGAAGCGAACTATCTCAACTAGGGGTGGACTTGGGCCAGGCGGCCCGCCCCAGAACCGGCCCGAACCGGTCACTATTTGAACCGGCCCGAACCGCCGGCCCGGCCAGGGACCGGTCCGGGTAGGCCCGACCCGCTGGGGTTCCGGTCCGGGCTCGGGCCCCTCAAAAGGTGAACCGGCCCGGCCGGGCCCGGTCCGGGCAAAATTTTTTTTTTTTGAATTTTTTTTATGTTTTTGGGTTGGGCTGGGTATTTTGGGCCATTTGAGGTGGTTTGAGGTGGTTTGGGGGTGAGGGGGGAGGGTTAATTAGGAAAAGCAAAAAAAAACAAATTGAACCGAGGCCCGGCCCGAACTGGACCCGGGGGTTACCCGGGCCGGTTCCGGGCCTCCCTTTTCATGAACCGTGGCCCGGCCGGGCCCAGGCCCGAACCGGCTCGAGTCCACCCCTAATCTCAACTGATCACCGATTTACCCTGCCTTATGGAATCCATGAAATCAGTTACAGTCAATCATGTTTACCCCAGGGGCCTCCAGGCCCCCCGGACCCCAATGGATTTAAAAAGGAATGTTTTTAATGGGACTAATTTTAGCCTAAAACCATATCAAATCAAATTTAAATAGACCGGACTAGACTAGAAAATACTACACAACCAAGTCAATCTTCAACAATTGTAAAATATACATAGAATAAACATCTATTAGACTCGTGCAGACCAAACCTAAACGAACGACATTACATCAGGCCAAACTAGAATAGAAAATCTCAGTCCCATTACAAATATGGTTACAAAAAAATATACTCCGTATTACTTTTTTTTTTTTTGATAAAAATGCTACAAGTCTACAACGAGCGATATTACATAATTTACATTGCATCTTCACCATTTTTTTCATTTCTAAGACAAGATTTAATTTGTGGTCTTTACTTTTATTTGATTTCGTTATTGTTCATGCTTGTTACATGTATACGCATATGTTTTTGTTTCAGAATATACCTCGAGAGTTTTGCGTAGCAAACGGATATTGTCAAAACACAAGAGTAACCCTGAAAGGTCCTATTGGGGACTGCAAAGTTACTCTCTTGGTAAACAAATGTGCCTTCTTTAGTCAGGGTTGGCGTGAGTTTGTAGAGATCAATAGAGTGGAAGAAGGAGATATTTGCATCATCAGGCCCCGTGACACTACGAGTAGTAAAGGTGGCAGGGTATTTGATATCGAGGTCCTTCGGGTGGGGACCAGCTAGGCTTGTTTATATTTATGACCAGACCCCACCAATTCTTATAATCACATTTGTGTTCCATATGTTCTCTTCGATCACTTCCATTACTAGTGAAATTCATTTTGTCGAATAATATTCTTTATTTGGACGGATAGTAAGTTGGTTGCATGTATCATATTGCACCTTATATCATTATAAGGTATGCTATAACATGTCAAGTTTGTTTTGAGATGAATCATTTTTCTCGGTTTAATGTATGTTCACCAAGCTTATTTTATATTGATTTTGTGACAAGGACCTCGATTGTAAGAAACTCAATTTTATATAAGAAAATGAATAACTCAATTTTGAAGAAAATCTGTGTAAACCTCATCAATTTTGAAGAAAATCAATAATAACTCATCAATTTTGACGAAACTTGAAATTAAAGATTTTAGAGGATATGTTCTTCAATCTCTATACAAGTAATATTTACAGAATCACCTACGTTGATGACAACCATTCAAATAATTTTTCTGATGTATCTACTTGGTTTAATCCACCTAGATCTAATTAATTTTATTAAAAGCATCTCCAATAATACAATGTGCACCGTGCATATGAGACATTGGAGACAATGATTCAATCTCCTTTTCACGGTCTTATGTGTTTTTGATAAGTTTTTCCTAACAATCTGAAACACAATATCTACACCTATATTTTACATTGTGAATAAAATATTACTAAAAGCATGTAAAATCATTTAAACAAGGTTAAAGGGTCAAATAGGTACATGAACTTACTTAAAGTGTTCAATTAGCCCCTTATATAGGAGGTTCTGCCCGGACGTCGCCAATTGGGGCGGTTCCCGGAGGAATTTTTTGATGAAATTTTTTGAGTATCTTCTTCATTAAGTCTAGTGCCCTACCGCTATATAGCGGTCGCAGTAGGGGCAACAAAGGAGGTTCTGCCCGGACGTCGCTATATTAACACATGAGTTACTCCTCCTATCACGTTATCCTTTTAGGATGTCCCCTGCGCCGATCAGCGTACCATTCTCAGCAGCCAGCACCGCTTCCCATCTATCATCTCACCTCGAACTTGCTTGTTGTTACCCGCCTCATCAACTTCACCGATCAAACACCACAACCATCGACATACGCTTTCACGGCTTCACAGGACTCCACATTAACCGATCGTCGCTTTCAACCTCTTTAGTCCTCACCTGCAGCTTCTACATTTATCGGCCGCCACAATCGGTGTTCGAAATTCGATGTTTCCGACTATTCTCAAGAACTTTACTCTCAATCATCAACTATTCTTCTTAGATAAGTGTTTTTTCATACAATTCTGAAGTACTTTAATTACGATCTCTTTTTTTATTTATTACATACGTAGTATTTTACAACGCAGCTTTGATCAGTATGAAGTTAGGAACCAAAGAAGAAAGGAAAGTTCTCAATGAGACTTTTCTTCAAATTTATTCACTGGTATTCAACAAAATCAAAACTTGAGTCTTGTCAGTTAAACACCACACTACACCATCCATATTCTATATAATTCTAAATTGAAGTCTATTCACATTAAAATAATAGATTTCAATCTTTACTGTTTGAGCTTGTAAAGTGTAAACATCCTATTTTGTTACAATTTATAATCAACAATAACATGTACAAATACATACGAAGTATATACATTCTTCCAAACCACAGTACACCATATATATATATATATATATATATATATATATATATATATATATATATATATATAGAAAGTATTCAGGTCCGGCCAGGCCGGACCACTCCCCCCGTCTGGCCTCCTCCATTTGGGGGCCTTCCCGGTGGTATTTTTTGCTCAAATGTTTTGTGTAGGTTCCTCATCAAGTCTAGTTCATCCATACCAAATTTCAGCCAAAAATTCAACCGGGAAGGTCGTCAAATGATTTTTGCAAGTTAACTGGTCCGGAATATGTATTTTCCGGACCAGTTAACTTGCAAAAATCATTTGACGACCTTCCCGATTGAGTTTTTGACTGAAATTTGGTATGGATGAACTAGACTTGATGAGGAACCTACACAAAAAATTTGAGAAAACAATACCACCGGGAAGGCCCCCAAACGGAGGAGGCCGGACGGGGCTCCGGTCAGGTATACCTTACCGGAAGTTTTTTCTATGGGAACTCTTCCGGTAAGGTATACTTTACCGGAACCGCCGTGCGACCTCCACGTTTTGAGGTCCTTCCCGGTGGAATTTTATGATGAAATTTTTTGAGCATGTTCTTCATCAAGTCTAGTAAATCGATACCAAATTTCAGAAAAAACTTCAATTGGGAAGGCAGTCAAATGATTTTTGGAAGATAACTGCACCCTTTATATACATATAAAACGCAGTTAACGTCCAAAAATCGTTTGACTGCCTTCCCGATTGAATTGTTTGCTGAAATTTGGTATGGATGTACTAGACTTGATGAAGAACATGCTCAAAAAATTACATCGAAAAATTCCACCGGGAAGACCCTCAAAACGTGGAGGCCGCACGGAGGCTCCGGTAAGGTATACCTTACCGGAAGTTTTTTCTATATCTATATATCTATATAATACCAAATTGAACTCTATGCCTCTTAAAATAATAGATTTTAATCTTCACTGTTTGAGCTTGTAAACTTCAAATGTTGCTACAATTTATAATCAGCAATAACATGTACAGTTTAAGATGCATTATATTGTATCAGTCCACATTTCTGTGATTCTGTAGAAAACAATTTTGTGCTCTACCATTATGATGCACAACTCTTTTTCTCCTGTATTGTTCACTCTCTGTAAGTCTCACCATTTGGTCTTTTTTTTCCCGGTAGATCTGCAAAATGATGGAGTTACTTAAGATATGCAAAATAAACTACTTTCAAAGGTGTAATTCCTTCGACTATCTAAAGCTTAAACAGAAATTTACACAAAGCTCCAAATTAAATTATTTTAAATATTTCTGTTTTTAAAAACTGAACGTATGCTTTTATATTTAAGAAAACATATCTATGGTTTGAAACATGCATCCATTTCATTTTAATAACCTAAGTTCTACGTACTTTTCATAATTATTTTCCAAAAAAAGTCTAATTATCATTCATTTCCGAAAGGGACTTGCCATTGTTTCTTAAAAATTTAGCGTGCAATTTGTGTTTTTATTCTAACACATGCTTTAGATCACATCTCTTTTATATTAGATCACATCTTCTAACTATGAACACAAAAAACAAAATCCAAATTTGAAATTTGAAAACCACAGAACATTGTATTTTCAGCATAGACTACTAAACTTTTGACGTGCTTATCTCTGTTTCTTCTTGGCAGACATCTAGAGATAAGCAACACATGAATGATCAAAGAAATGATTTGAATAAATGTGCAAGGAAACAATGTTTTTCATTTTAAAATAACAATGGCTTTTACTTGATGCCTCTTACATGAATGATTGTTCATTTTGCAGGGGCAATTATTTTTAGATTACTTGATGAAAGCAGAGCAAATTGTTGAGCATTATGATTTTACTTGAGAGTTTGGGGTGTATATTTGAAAGACACTGCAGAGATTAGATGTTTGGATATGTGTTTATCGTCATGTGTGTTGAAATTCATCCCCAATGGTCCCTAATTTATAAGAGCAAAAATTCTAGATTTTTCCATTGGAATGTAAAAAGTCACATCGTAGCAGGTGGATACTTCATTTTCTTATTGTATGCTTTCCCAGTTGAATTGTGTAAACTAATTTTAATATGTAATTTGTAATTTGTAATAAAGAGTACTTCATTGGGATAAGAATTTATGCATCGACTAATGTGATATAGATTAATTCAACCATTAATCTGAATACTCCGTATTAAAGGCTTTGTCCTCTTCTAATCTTCTTACAGCATTTATCACTTTGTCCCTTTTTGAAAAGTTCAAGGGTCAACTTCTGATTAAGTTTTTCTTCAATTTTGTTGGGGTTGCTAGGCGCACCCCCAAAATTACTTAATCTAACCCAATTTGACACTTTTAACCTTGTTTATGTAGCCTTGCAAATTAAACTCATGCGTCCTAAGTCTAAAATGAAGCATTTTTCAATTACAAACTACAAAGGATAATAAATGCAGCCGCACATTCTTTTGGCCTGTTTTTTTTTTTTTAATTTCAGATCTTTTTCAAGGTTCTTTTTGTTAAACAAATTTTAAATATTTGTGTTTCGTTTACCATAATTCAGTCGATTTCACTAATTCAACCGCTTTGGTCAGAATTTTACCACTTGTTACAAATTCAATCGATCCACCCAGTTTCAGGGTTACCTAACGGACTATGCATAATAGTTATAAGAAGTCAAAATATTTTGAACATTTAAACATATCACAAATCCCGTTTGATAACCATAATTTCATTTTGTCGCCCTTAATTATGAACCAATTTAATGTAAGAAACATAACTTTTAATTTCGTGTGATGAATTCTATAATAATCAATATAAGTAAAGTTGTAGTTATTTTCTGGCTAATTTGGTTGAAGTTACTTTATGAGCCTGTTTGGTAACACGAAAAACGGCCGATTCTGGTTGAAGTGATTGCATTGGCTGATTCTGCTGATTTAAGAAAAAAAATATCGTTAAATTTTTTTCTAAATAAAATAAATATGTAAAAATAGCTAAAATGGTCATCTACGATAACTTCAACCAATACAACCAGAAAATAAACTCAAACCTTAATTTTTCTTATTATTACACAATTCAGCATGCGAAAATATAAGTTACGTGTTTGGTGAAAAAGTGGTTGATAAGTCTGATAAACCAAAAAACAGTGTTACCAAACGGCCTCTGATCGTTTAACTGTATTTTATTACTAAAATATGTAAAAAAAATCCATTATTCTAAATCTCAATATCAATCTGCTACACAGTACACACCAAGCTTTTCAAACAATAGTTAGTTTGATTAAAATAGAGTTACGATATCTTTTAAAATAGATATGTACAGTCACTCCCCCATCTTAATTTTGATTTAATTTGGTTTCAAATTATAAGTAATATTTTTGTAAACCCTTAAATTATAAACTAGAGAATACCTTCTTTTAAAGATCAGGAATACAACTTAGGATGTTTTTATTTGGACTGTAATTTGTCCCAGACCAGACCAGTCCAGACCAGATCAGACCAGTTCAGACCAGACCAGACTTGGATAGTTATAAAAATACAAAGAAACCAGACCTTATCAGACCAGACCAGACCAGTTCAGACCAAACCAGACTAGACCAGATCAGACCAGACCAGACCAGCAAATTACAGTCCAAGTAAAAACACCCTTACTGAAATAGTGCGCTTCACGCTGATAGCAAAATGTTACGTTGTACTATCCTCCGTCTCTTTTTAATCGCAACATGTTGAATTTTACACTATTCACATATTCTACTTTGACTACATTTTATATTATTATTTTATGAAAATTATTTTTTTTAAATTATATTGTTCAATTCATCTCATTACAAATTTTCAAAATCTAGTTTTTAAATATTTTTTACTAATAGGGATTAAGATATAATTACGGTCAAAGATGTGCGTTGGCAAGTGTGAAATGTTGACTGTTGCAACTAAAAAAGAACGGAGGAAGTATAATTTGGGTTAATTTCAAAAAGGTTAAAACCCCTCTAAACATACAGCTAGGACATAATTTTGTTTTTGCATTCACACGTTTTCATATTCACTCTCACGTGCAACACACGTTTTTTCCGCCCAAATTCCCCCACACTTTTCTGTTTTACTATATATATATATACTATATAGAAATATATAGATTACAAAAGGATGCCTAATATTGTTAATCAAGGTGGCCGGCAGAGTTCTAGTGATAAAATTCCGGCCCTTACGGCTTGTTTGGATTGAGTTTTGAGAGGTGTTAGTAATGGAAGTGTTAAGAAGTGTTAATTTAAACACTTGTTTGGGAGAAAAATCAAAAGTTTTTAGAGGTGTTAGTAAGTGTTTCAGGGTGTTAGATATAACCTCCCCAACACCTATGTTTATCACTTTTTTAACACTCCAATTTGGGGTGTAAGGAAGTGTTGGAAAACATTTGTTCTTTCTTCTGCAGCAGGGGCCAAATTGTTCACTTGCGGCTCTTCTTCCGGCAGAGACTTCTCCTCCAGATTTGTCTTCTCTTTTCCTATTTCTTCTTCATCTTTTTCGATTTTACCTATCTACGAATGATTTATTCGTACTTAATAATATTTTAAAAGGTATGAGAATATTTTTGTCAATTTAAGTGAAAACACTTCCATTACTAATACTTCATTTTTTTAACTCTCCCAATATTTTTTTTACTAATATTTTAAGATTATGTTTAACACTTATATTTCCATTCCCTTCTGGTCCCCTGCCAACACTTACCAACGCTTTCATTACTAACACCTTCCAACACTCCATACAAACAGGCCGTTAGCATATTCATGTATATTCACGCCCACCGTTTATGAACCTCCCATAGCAATTCGTGGGAATATGTAAAGACGTGATATAATTTACACTTATCACTGAACATAAATAGGAATATGTAAAGACACAAGTAAAATAAAAAAGCAACGTTCTTCTTCACCCACACATATATGCTCGTATAATATTATCGGCCGGATATACTAGCTCGTAGAATATACAATTACAGTTAGATTCAAGTACTCAATCGCCAAAGCTAGCAGTTCTATAAACGGTGCGTAGTAGTTAATTGAAATACTTTTACCTATCTTCTTTATGTGTAATAATGTAATCTTTTGTTGTGACTTGTGTATTATCTAAATATTTACCCAATATATTTGCTTAATGGATGTTCCGGTATGTACACATGTGTAGTTGTAGACAATATATGTAACGTATGGATATGGAAATGAGATATAGGGTAAATAACGTGTTTTGGTTAATATAACAGATCAATGGAAAACAAACTTCCAAGATTTTTCAAGGTGTTGATGCCTGGCTTTCGTACTAGACTGGTATGTTGTGTTATTTCTTCCCACCCTTGGTATTCTTTTTTATTTTTGACCTTTTTAATTATGTTTAATATATGGCCATCTTAACAATAAGACCAAGTTTTATTGTCAATAGGACATTTTATTGTCAATGGGACATCACTCGTTGGATTGCAACAATAAAACAATACGATAGTATAAGCTTTTCAAAGTAAGAGTGAATTAGTAATTGTTTTGGAAAGAAAACAATGAAAACTTTGGAGGAATTCAGACATGAAGCTATAATACAATAAAATACGATAGTATTATATAAGACTTTGAAGTATCCCTCTTATGTAACATTTCCGGATAAAATTTCAAGTCTTAACAATAGGTTACGTTATAAAACCGAAACTGAAAATGCAAAGGGTGTACATATACAGATACTCCCCCCAGCTATATCTAAGGAGCTAATGGTTCGAAAAACGGGTAAAGTAGTAACTCTAATTAGCAGAAAGGGAAGGTTTGAAGTTGAAATCAGAAGATGCAAAGAAGGCAACAACAGGCTGTGTTTCAAGAATGGGTGGAAAGAGTTTGTGAAGCAAAACCGCCTGGTTGCTGGAGACTTTGTGGTCTTTAAACATACAAGCCGCCTGATTTTTAAGGTCAATATGTTTGATCTCACTTGTTGCGAGAAAGATTGTCATGGCCAGTCAGAAACATATAACAACATTAGTAAGTCATGTTTGGATACATAATCTTCATATATCTCTAAGAAGGTGTTTTAAAATCATCAATCAATGTTCACTACCATTGACCAACAAAAATCAATTTGGTACAAGATTATATTATGATTTTTAATGTGAAAATAAATTATTAATTAGTCCTCATAAAACATTATATATATATACACAAATATTCCTGTCCGGAATTTCCGGACAGGAACCCCGTTCGGCCTCCTCCATTTGGGGGCCTTCCCGGTGTTATTGTTTGCTCCAATTTTTTGTGTATGTTCCTCATCAAGTCTAGTTCTTCCATACCAAATGTCAGCAAAAACTTCAATCGGGTTGGTCGTCAAATGATTTTTACAAGTTAACTGGTCAGGAATATGTATTTTCCGGACCAGTTAACTTGCAAAAATCATTTGACGACCTTCCCGATTGAATGTTTTGCTGAAATTTGGTATGGATGAACTCGACTTGATGAGAAACATATAGAAAAAATTTGAGCAAAAAATACCACCGGGAAGGCCCCCAAAAGGAGGAGGTCGGACGGCGCTCCGGTCAGGAAATTCCTGACCGGAAGATTACTCATATATATATATATAGAGGACTGCTCAGGTCCCTCCGGAGGGACGGGAGGGACCGTCCAAACTTTACTGTTTGAGGCGGTTCCCGGTGGAATTTTTTGATGAAATTTTTTTAGCATGTTCCTCATCAAGTCTAGTTTGTCCATACCAAATTTCAGCTCAAAATTCGACCGGGAAGGCAGTCAAATAAATTCTTGAAGCTTACTGGACATTCTGCGCATACAGTAAGTTTCAAGAATTTATTTGACTGCCTTCCCGGTCGAATTTTGAGCTGAAATTTGGTATGGACAAACTAGACTTGATGAGGAACATGCTTAAAAATTTTCATCAAAAAATTCCACCGCGAACCGCCCCAAACAGTAAAGTTCGGACGGTCCCTCCCGTCCCTCCGGAGGAACCTGAGCGGTCCTCTCTTTCTCTCTCTCTCTCTATGTATATATATATATATATATATATATATATATATATATATATATATATATATATAGGGATGAGTTCAAATGAGAAGACATCCTAACGTGTAAAATGAGAATTAATCTCAGCCGTCCAAAGTGTCGGTCTGATGCACAATAACCCATATCTGATGCACTTTCGAATAGACCTTATTTTATCACATCAATGGCCAAGATTAGTTCTTATTTTTCACCTAGGAAGTACTTTTTATTTGAACCAAATTCTATAGATATATATATATATAGTTTCTCTTTAATAAACAAGTCAACAAATCCTGCTTAAAAAGTACAACAGTTATGTTATGATAAAGGAAACAAGTTATGTTTTACTTCTAATTGGTTGTGAAATTGAAAGTTGATGGAGAAGGATGTGCCCAAGGATCAAATGGTGATGGAGTGCAACTTCACAAACATGAGAAAGTGACGACGGACAAAAATAGTAAGTCGCATGCTGAATATATTGGTGATAATTCATTATATTTTTCTCGATTCTTTTAATTTATAACCAGACAAGTACTTTTGGATCGGAACTAAAGCTTGGACGTTGTCGGTGTTGTACAAGTACTCGAGTCGTGCGATGTACTAATATATCTAGATTATGATAACAACTCCTCTATAGTTTAAAATTATACTAGTAGATAGTATTTCGTATTTTAGTGTGATAGTGCGCATTGCTTAATGTGTAACTTGTATATAGGAAAAAGTATGGGCAAGTAACTTTAATTATAGACATTGTAACTTTTATATAATGCAACTATACAAGTATATAGGCAAAAGAAAAACACACATCCTTTTAAGAGTTGTAAGTAAAATAAAAAAAATATGACATACTCCATCATTTCTTTTAATGTAAAAGTGTGCAAGACTTATCATACTGAATATGTTTCAAAAAATATAAAAGTTTCCACAACATGATCGTTATCTTCCCATATAACGATTGTTAGACCATATTATGAGTGCCTTTGTTTGCTTGAAAATATATAAACATATTTTAAAAGATGTGTTTTGTAAGAATGTTTTTACTTTGATTGTTTTTAGTCTTAGACTAGACCAAAACAGACTTAAACAAATCAGATTAGATCAGACTTGACTTCCGTAGATATAGAATACATAGAGACCAGACGTTTACCAGACCAGTTCAGATCAAACCAGACATAAACAGATCAGACCAGATCAGGAAATTAAAACATCCTAACTTTCCCAATTCAAGTCTTTTATCTAGCATGTCTCAATCCCTTTACCTTTTTAAATTATTCATCAACTGCATTTTATTCAGCTCTTAGTGTTCACTCCATGTATTGATAGGAAAGAGAGTGACTAAAGGGGTGAATATATCTCCAAGGGAGCAGTGTCCTCAATTTACAAAGACAATAACGCCCTACAATCTACGGGCAAAGTTCCCTATGATGGTAAATTAATTATGATCAAATTATGAGAACTATCTCCCTCGCCCTAAAATCCACAATTGCGAATCAAAGATATACTCTCTCCGTCCCGCTAAGATTGTCCCATTTTATCTTTTCGGGAAGTCCCACTAAGATTGTCACATACCAAATTTGATAAAGATTGTGTGACTCTAAATCATTCTTACTTTATTCTTACTTTATCAGTTTAATATCCACCACACAAACCCACTTTTCTTAATAATCGAGCCACCTTCTTCCGTCCCAATCTTAGTGGGATGGAGGTAGTACAATTTTTCATATGGAATCATAATGTGAAAATATGATTTATCCACCTCTTTAATAAGAATGTTATTGAAAATACTTTAAATTATTTTTTACATTGGGCCTTATTATTATATCATAGAGTAGGAATTTATTATTTGTGCACATATATATGACACATATTTTACTCACATGCAGCATGTGCCTAGAGCATTCTGCCTGGCAAATGGATTTTGTCATAACATAGCTATAACTTTGAAGGGGAGGAGTGGTGAACACCAAGTTAGCTTCAGATTTTATGGTGATCCAGGTGGATACATTTGTGATGGTTGGCGTGAATTCGCTACAAGCAACCATCTTAAAATTGGAGATACGTGCATCTTCAAACTTTGTAGCGCAACTCTTACTTCAGATGCCATTAGTGTATTCGATGTTGAGATTCTTCATGTTGTGACTTAGTTTACTCTGTCATAGGTGTTTGTATTTGTAAGGATACTGGTTTTCTATTAATGTTACCCTTTTTGGAGAAGTCATTACGTTCACAAAAAATAGCCCCGTTCACCGATTAAATAATTTTGTCTATGAACATCCTATTCTTAGATTAAAAATAATCCAGTTACTGACATGCGTATTGATGTGTACAAAAAAGTAGGGTTCTATAATTTTCTTCTCACGTCAAGGGGGTAAAGAGATTCTTCTCCTAATATGATGGAGTGTATACTATATAGTACTCTCAAAATTGGTCGGGAAGTACGCAATGGCGTTTCCACTATGGGGACAGTGGGGACAACTACCCACTCGTTCCACTCACTCGTTCTTATCGAAGGTCTCCAGTTCGAAACTCCATAGAGACAGTTTCAGCCATGGTTAACCCGGAGGCCCCAACCCCTCTCCCTAACCCCGGCCCGTGGAATTATAAATGGAGGAGTAATTTGGTCCTCAAATCAAATCAAACCAGAGTAAAGATGAAATCAATCCCTTTACAAATACAGTAACAAAAAATATAGTACTCCTGTTTTTTATATTACATTGAATCTTCACCATTTTTCCATTTCTAAGAGAAGTTTTAATTTGTCGTTGATAAGTCTGTATTTAGACACGCATTTGATGTGTGTTTGGACCGGCTTTTGATGGTTTTTCTAGCTTTAAGGTGTTACAAGTCTCAATTTTAGCTCAAGTTATGTTTACCAGGCATTGGTTCGAGTTTGTGTCATTTGGAGTCAAAAACAGGATTTTAGAGTTTGGCACCGGCGATTGAGGAGAAATCGGGATGAGTTGAGAAGCATTCGAGAGTGATTTGAGAGCTTTGGAAGTCACTGGGAGGTTTACAATGAAGATTTAATGACAAAAGAGCTCTAAGATTGGATACAGGATCAAAAGAAGACGTATAGAGCTTGAAAACGGCGATCATGATGACCTTCTGTCAATTGTTCAAGCATATCTCCTTGTAGTAACATCCAATGGACACGATTCAAGTTCCAAATGAAAGCTAACTTCAAGGACTACAAATCATATGAAGACACCATTGTGAGAATATTAGAGGATGAAGGTGAAAACAGACGATTAAGTCAAATGATCCCTGTTGCGATTTCATAATGCGACCTTCCACCATTATATTCATATCTCTTAATTGGATGATTCAAATCAAATTCCGCAAGTTGTGGTGGATAGGGATTCATTATCTACAACTTCCATGAAGGAAGTTTTGTCCAATTCGGAAGTTTGATGCACGTCGTGCGTCCGAGGCGAGACAGCAAGGAAGCTACTGCTACCCACGCACGGCCGTGCCTGGGGGGACGCACGCCGTGCGTGGCTAATTTTTGTGCGATACATGCTCCGGATGCACTAGGGGGACGCACGCCGTGCGTGGGCCCCGTGCGTTCCCCCTGGAATCCTAATTTCGCTCGAATTGCTCTGTTTTTCCTATTTAAACAGCTTGTAAACCCCGTTTTCAAAGGGGGGGCTTAGAGAGAGTGCCTAGCACAAATTTTAGAGAGTTTTTCAACCTTGTTCATCAATCTTTCGAGATTCTTTGTAAGTTCCATCTCTTTAATTAATGACAATTATTTCTATTCATCCCAATTTCGTTGATTCTTTAATTATGAATTGCGAGTAGTTTTAATTAGGGATTTGGGATTGATGAAGGGGTTGATTATGATGTATGGATAGATTCTTGATGGGTTAATTGCATGAATGCCGTTTAATTTGTGTTTGAATAATTTAATTGATATCTTTTGTAACCTGGAACCGCGTCTATAATTACAATTGCTTATAGAATAAATTAAGAGAGGTCTAATTTGTTCTAGGACACATTCACACACACTTAATCGTTCGCTAAGAGATTAGTAGCGATTAAGGGGCCGTAAGCTCGCTCGTCTTGGCAATAATTTAGGATCCTGTCGCATGAGAGATCAGCTTGGTCCCCTAAATTATTGTACTCTACGTCACGAGAGCGGTAAGAACTTAGTAATGATTAGCTAGGCTCAATTGAATTAATTTCATTTAATTAGGCCTGATCTGCCAGAAATCTGATTACCCCGAAATGAATCCTTGTTCCCTTCGTCATTAATTAGAGAGAACCCATTTATTTAATCGTTTAGTTGCGTTTTAATTTTTTATACCTATCATATCTCGCACGTCGCATTTATTTTATTTCTTTTTAATCGCTGAATTTAATTAATTCTTGGTTCCCTTTTTTTCGTCCCTGTGGAGACGATACTCATACTTACACCAATATATTACGATCTATTTTAAGTGCGAGAAAACTCACATCAGTCGTCTTTAATCTTATTTGATTTCGTTATTGTTCATGCTTGTTACATGAATATGCATATGTTTTTGTTTCAGAATTTACTGTTATATGTATGTACAATATTCTGCATGCAAATGAAATAACAAATAAATAATTAAGGAAAAACGTTAGATTACTTGTAACCGAGCCCAACGTAAACGTTGTTTCCTTAAGACGTTTTTGCCCGACACACATAGCAAGCGTCTCCCAGGATAGAACGGTTCTTCGCTCCCAACGGGATTCCGGCGAACTCAAAGATGCAACGAAGGAAGAGATAATACGAAGGAATTGTTTTGTGAATTTCAAATGTCCCAAAATTGAAGACAGGACGGGTACTTATAGAGCTCTGGCTAGGAGTCTCTGGCCCAAAAGACACCTATTAAAAGAAAGTTCATGACCTTTCTTTTAAAACGAATAGGTGTGTTTTTTATATTTTAGTTTATCCGAAATAAAGAAATACAAGACGCAACAAAAAATAATCTCCAGTCTTTAACCATACGGAGGTGTCCGGTGAGACTCGAACCCGACCCGACCCGACCGACTGATGACATCGGTGTGTGCGTGTTAAATATAATTTCACGATTATCTTTCGGGGAACAATTTCTTATTCATTTCAAAATGATTTTTTACATATAATATTAATGACCATATACTATTAATTTGTAAAACCATTATTCCAACAGCCCCCCCACATGTTGGGAAATTGGCTTAAAAACAGGAAAACTATTGAAATTTAACATGGGAAGATGGTAACTCTGCATAGGGTTAGGTAGTCGTGAAACTTTGAACCTACCTTAGTGTACATCCATCGGATTTACCGGCCAATCAGCGATCATTTCTTCCTTGAACTGTCAGCCTTAGCGTAAACGTAGACAATGAATAACACACGGAGCCCCGAGTGCATCTTTGGTTCTCACGTTTGTGTTCTTTTCAGACTTGAACACCTCCTGGTTCAGCTATTGTTTTCGAGAGTTTATCGTGTACCAGAGAATATTTTCTCGTACCATAGACTCTCATAGAAGCGGCCTTCTTCCACTAGCATAGGTGATCTTTATGAAAGGTATCATGTCATACCTTACTTGAACGTATCAAGATATGAAGATCATTAAAAGCGTAACTTACCCTAAATGCCCATGGCATGAGTGTACTATATCTTGGCTAGTACCGCCTGAGCCAGTCCACAGTTGTGTTTTCCCTTTGAACCCAATTATGAGGCACTCTCAATAATAGGTATGGTTTCCCCATGGACTTTTATTGGATCATTGGTCGTAGGACCATCGCTCTCCTTGATGGCTCGACCAAGTCTCTCGGTAGAGGTTTGGTTAGCGGATACACAATATTTTCTTTAGACTTTACATAGTCAAGAGAGATGATCCCATTTTTAATTAGTTTTCTAACAGTATTATGTCTACGACGGATGTGTCTAGACTCATTATAAAGTGAATTTCTCGCCCTTCAATAACAACTTGACTATCACAATGAATAGATATTGGAGGGATAGGTTTTTTCCAACAAGGAAGATCTTCAAAAAACTCTCTCAACCATTCAGCTTCTTCTCCAGCCTTATCTAAGGCAATGAATTCAGCCTTCATGTTAGATCTAGCAATACATGTTTGTTTGGAAGATTTCCACGACACAAAGCCACTTCCACGACACAGTTGTGTCCTTGGAATCGGATATCCAATTTGCATCGGTATATCCCTCAAGCACGGCTGGATATTTTTGAAAATGTAAATCATAGTCTTTGGTATACATTAAATACCCAAGCACCCTTATTAGCGCTTTCCAGTGTTCTCTACCGGGATTTATTGAAAACCGGCTTAGCTTATTCAAAGCCTGAGCTATATCAGGTCGTGTGACATTCATGACATATGTCAAACATCCTATGACCCGAGGATAGTCATCTGGTGATATGTTTCCTCCTCTATTTTTGCTGAGGTGAACACTAGAATCAAAAGGAGTTCTCATGGGTTTGATATTATACTTTTTGAATCTCTCAAACATTTTCTCAATGTAGTGTGGTTGAGATAATATCAACTCTTCAGGTGATCTGGTGATTTTAATTCCTAGAATTACATCCACAACACTGAGATCCTTCATTTCAAATTTCTTGGCCAACATACTTTTGGTAGCCTTTATCAAATTATTGTTATTACCAACAATGAGCATATCATCTACGTATAGACATGCTATTAAGCAGTCCTTTTGATCGCCTTTTACATGCACTCATTTGTCGGACTCGTTGATTTTAAATCCATATGACATCATTACACTATCATACTTATCATGCCATTGTTTGGGGGATTGCTTTAACCCATACAGAGATTTTACTAAGCAACAAACCTTTCTCTTTTAGCTTGTCCAGGAACAATGAAAGCTTCAGGTTGTTCCATGTAATTGTCTTCCTCTAAATCACCATTCAAGAATGCGGTTTTTACATCCATTTGATGAATTTCCAAACCCTTCAATGCAGCTATTGATAGTAGCATTCGAATTGAAGTTATTCTTGTAAGTGATGAATAAACATCAAAGTAATCATACTCCCCTTTTTTGTTGTATCCTTTGGCAACAAATCGACATTTGTACTTCTCAATTGTTCCATCAGTTCTTCTTTTGTTTTTGAAGATCCATTTGCATCCTGCAGGTTTAGATCTAGGAGGCAAATCTACCACTTTCCTAATGTGGTTAGACATGATGGAATCAATTTCACTTTTGATAGCCTCTTGTCATTGTGCAGCGTCTGGTGAAGACATGACTTCCTTATAAGTATGAGGCTCATTATCTAATAGGTACACAACAAAATCGGGTCCAAAATTCTTAGAT